TGGCATGCCGACAAGGCGGCTCATCTGGCGGCGGCGGCCATCTCTTTGGGCTACGGCGGCGTGGCCTGGAACCACACAGTCGACTTATCGACCGTCAAGCAGACCGACGGCAGGTCAGCTATGGTGTGTCCCATCAGAGAGGTGGCCATCAGCAATGAGGCGCTGCTCAGCCGAGTGAGCTCATTCCGGGTGCTATCATCGCTCGAGGATCTCAATCTGAGTGCGTCGGCGTCTTCGCGAGTGGGCTTTGTGCAGCTGCGGCGTCTGACGTGTGTCTTCAGCCACCCCAACCAGGTCACTCAGATCAACCAAATCAGCCGGATGTCTGTCAACGGCGATAGAGAGGGCGGCGGCTATGATCTGCTGGCCCGGCAGCCGACCGACGAGAAGGCCTGGCTGACTGTCTGCCAGTCCTGCGACTGTGACATCGTGTCGCTCGACTTCACCAGCGGCAGAATGCCCTTCCCCATTCGCCGAGCTCAGCTGGGCCTCGCCGTCAGGTAACCACCACACACGAGTCGCCACACACACAAGTCACTGTGTGTGTGTGTTCAATCAGCCGCGGGATGTTCTTTGAGATTCAGATCGGCGCCGCTTTGCGCGACAGCGCCGCCCGGCGGAACCTCTTTGCGAACATCCAGTCGTTAGTGCGGTTCGTGCCGATGACCCGCATATTGCTGACGAGCGGGGCCTCGTGTGGGCTCGAGCTGCGGGGGCCCTATGACGTGGCCAACCTGGCGGCCGTCGTGGGAATTGGCAAGGGGCCGCTGGCCTGCAAAGCGTGTGTGAGCGATGTGCCTCTGGCCGCCGTACACAAAGGTCAGTCAGCCGGCACACACAGAGGTGAATGGCAGACAAACATCTGTGTGTGTGATGCCATCCACTGTGTGTGTTCCTTCAGGGGCTCAGCGGCGGTCGAGTGGCGGTGCGGTGACGGCCGTGCGGCTCATGGCGACGGAGAGCAATGCCGCCTTGGGTGGGGGCGGGGCGGCGTCGGCCATGATAGAGGCCGGGCTGCGAGAGGCCGACCAGCAGGGCAGACGAACGAAGAGAGACAGCGAGAGGGGGCGGGGCGGTGGTGAGAGTGAAGGAGTGACGGCCAGCGAAATGGAAATGGACTGAGTGCCTTGACAGATGTGTGTGTGTCGATCTGTACAGTCACGACGTTTATGTGTTTGGTTTGATTGTGTTGACACCTGTGGTCTGACAGTCCATCCACTGTGGGTCTCCATCACTCACACACATCTGGATCGCCGCCGGCCACTTAGCCATCCATCCATCCATCGGCACCTCAGCTGACATCAGCCACACTCATCCGCACACACAGCCACATCGATGCAGAGCCATCCCATCCGGTGTGTCGCCCTCCTCTGTGTCCCCGCCGCACACACACGCGTGTGCACGGCCTATCTCTGTGTGGGACCACAAAGGAAAGGCAACACGCCACACAGCGATGCAGCTGAAGGGATCTCTTGGGCGAGATGCACACATCGTGACCGTCGGGAGCAAAGCAATGAGTGCTGACGTGGGTATGCCGACATCGCACTCATCCACACAGACAGACAGACAGACACATACGCAGCCCATCACGGCGGGCCTTCCCTGATTCAGTCGATGTGTGTTGGCGTCATGATGCAGCCGCCCACCAGCCACTTGACGGGCCACCACAGAGACGCCTTCGCCACACCGCCCTGGGCAGTCGACTTTGTCGCCTTTGGCCCCTTCTGTCTGTGGGGTGTGGCCATTCCCTCCCTCTCGACCAGCCCCCCCGCCCCGCGATGCGCAATGGGGCCGCGGACGGGCTGCGTCTCGATTGGCTTCACGCGGGACGCCGAGGCTCTGACATCCATTTCGGGGACCACACCCACCAACGGCCGCACAGCGACCTGTGTGCAGGGCAACAGAGAGAGGGAGGGGGGGAGGGAGGGAGACGCAGCCGTGTTGGTTGGCAGGATGGTGTCTCGATATGTCGCAGTTACCTGTTTGTAGTGCGTTTCCGCGGTGGTGCGGCTGGCCATGTGTCCAATGGCCTTTTTGGCGTACACGAGCGCCTCGACCTTGACGCGCTCGTCCGGCATCAACACCGACAGAAACGGGTGGTCAATCTACACGGCGGACACACAGAGGGGGAGGGGGCGATGCCGTCTGTCTGTCTGTCTCCCCTCTGATGTGTGTGTGGATGACTCACCTTGAAGACCTCTGTGACGTCTTTGAGCGCTCTATACCTTTCGAACATCGCCGGCAGCCAATAAGCCAACGCACACACGTACTCCTCGGCACCTTCCTGTGAGGCACATCCACCCCCAACACACAAAGTGAGATTCCACCAGTGTAAAGAGGCCTTTCTCCAACCCTCCATCTCTCTCCCTCTCTCTCTGTGCAGTGCATTACCTCATATGCGTCGCAGAGGAGCTCCGCCTCGTCGTCCATGACGCCCCGCTGGACCAGATACCGCCAGATGGACTTGCGCTTCCGGCCGCTCACACGGCCCGTCGACGGGCCGCCATAGCCGTCGTCGTGCGCATTCTCCTCGAGCATCAACCCGCCCGACATAATGACAGCTCAAAGGCCGATGACGCAGAGGGGGGGGGGGACGGCAAGTGAGACTGAAAGTGCGACAGTCACTGAATGCGACTGATTGAAGGAGATCAACGCCGAATCGAATGAATTTGTGGAGCAGGGCACCAGCTAGATGTCCTCTGATGCCGTCTAAAGAGATATCAAAGAGCCTTTTTTCACTGTCGGTGTTTCGCGGCCAGGGTGGGGGCCTGGAGTCTCGAAAGTGAGCCCTCGTTCAAAGAACACCTCTTCACGCCCCCTGCGTCGCTGCAGCAAGCCATCTGCATCGCCGACCAGTCGCCATCTTTCAGTCATGTACTACTCCCCCCCGAGCCCCACAAGCTCAGCGGCCAGCTCCGTGTGCGAGACGGAGTACTACTACGCCGCCCCTGCCCACGGCCGCACCTACGGCGGCATGAGCGAGGCCGACCTGCTGGAGCTCATCAAGGCCCTGGGCTGGACCGACCCCCTGCAGCAGCAGGAGCTCGTCAAGGCGATGCTCACCTTCCCTGGTCCACTGACGCCCGTCACGGGCAGCAGCAGGCGCCCTGAGAAACGCGTTCGAGGAGCTGGATGACGTAGAAATATTCGGGATAGGCCAAGACGTAAGCGGACTGCACATCAGAATAGGCAGAAGGGGATTACACATTGCATGCACTGCAGAAACACTGATATATGGGGCTGCATGCCGCTTATCCATCGGGCTCATGATGTGTGGTCTGCTCTGTGTGCGTGTGTGTGTGTGTGTGTGTGTGGGAGATGGCCGAGACCGTCAAACCAGCGGCAATCCCCTCCCTCCATACCTCATCGAAGCTCACCAACAACGTACGAACGCCTTCAGAACAGCACACACAGCATGCAGTCAAATGTGTGGTTCCCTCTCGGCCGTTGTGCTTGTGCAGGTGCCAGAGGTTGACAAGAAGGCGGGGGCGTTCTCGTGGTTGAACCCGCTCTCCTGGTTCGCCAGCTGCCTCTCGCCAAGATACTCCTGAGAGACATGGACGGCCACTCTCTACGTGTCGGCTACCCACGCGTAACAAGTGTGCCGTGTTTTGTCGTTCTTGTTGTCGAGAATGTCTGTGTGCCGCTTAGCTAGTGACAACTCATGTGTGTTGTGCGATGCAGCTGCCTCGCTAGTGACCGGTGCAATGCAATGGAGTGGATGGTGTCAGTGATGGGATGGTGTCTTCCTCTTTTTTGTCCCCCTTGCTGGGTGTGCGTGCGTGGGGGTGACGGGATGGAAGACACACATATGCGATTTGACTTACTGCGGCAGACAGAACAACACACACACACATAGTCGGGCGGTCGGATGGTGCACTGTGCAGAGCACGAGCACGAACACGGCCACAATACTGCTAAGAGGTAGATTACATGGCACACTCGCTGGGCAATTGTGGCATGTAATGTCATGCTTTGCTGGTGCCTCATCGCTCCCCCAATGTGTGTATGTGTGGCCTGTTGTCGCTCTCTTTGGCGATGGCTGGGCGTGGCGTTTCTCGCCTCAATCACACCAACCGTCCATCCATTCAACAGGGCATCTAGCTGGGTACGTGTTCGTGTGTCTGCCCGGTGTCTGCCTCACCATCGCTGCCTCATCTTTCCTTCTTCCGGGCGCACACACACAAGACAGAGAGGGAGGGAGGGAGGGAGGGAGATGTCATTGTGTGCATACATACGTTTGTGGTGTCTCCAGTGTCGCTTTGCCTGTTTGTGATTCCTTCGCCACCCACAGAGATACGCCGTGCAGTGCGGCGGGGGGACGGGGACCGGGGGCTTCATGTGGCTGCTGTTGGTGTGTGTACGGCATGCATGGCGTGTGTCAGTGCTAAGTAAGGTGGGGGAATAGCTATCACAGATCGCCTGACTGACGAGTGGAAACTCATCTGAGTGTGAGTGATGCAGCTGACTCATGCGACGCCATGGAATGGATAGAGTGTGTGTGTGTGTGAATGGTGCCTTCCCTCGTGTCGTCCGTTTGGCGTCGGTGTGCGGCTGGCATGCGTGTGAGGTGACGGACAGACAGATGCGAATTGACAGACAACACACATGGTGTACGGTGGATGGATGGTGTATGTATTGTTGCTGCATGAGTGAGTGAGTGTGATCATGGAGAGCATGGTACCGACCATGCCATGCCGACGTGTTGTGCCCACGAAGTGATGCGTTCATGCCAATCAATCGATGCCAAATGGACACTATCCACACACATAAACACACACCACTAATCTGTATTTGACGCATATCGCGTCAGGCAGGCAGTCGCCTCAGTGACTAATTCATTGACAGCCCACTATCTTACAAGAATCCCTTTAGCTTGGTCCGGATGTCGCTCCATCTCGATATGGGCTCACTCGGACGCACTGCACATACACAGACAGGCAGACAGACAGACAGACGCACCCATACAGACACCACCTGTGTGTGTCGATCACCTACCGACCTGGTTTGAGTTTGATGACCCACAGGAAGGGCCACCTCTTGCCCGTCACGAGCATCCTACACACACATACATTATTCACACACAGGCAGGTAGGCAGACAGGTCGGTGGTGGCTGTGGTGTGGTGTGGGGGCTTGAGAGACTCGTTCGTCGGGCGTGTCAGTCATTTCCGTCAGTCAGTCACCTCTGTGGTCCGAGTGATGTGTGGTGTGCGATGCCATTCAACACGTCATTCCTGTTGGCAGCCAGCCGGACACGAGCACAGCACAGATCATCCCAGCCAGCCATCGGTATCTCCATCATAACTATTTGTGTGAGTGTGTCCGTCCATGTGGGTGCGTGTCCTGACTGTACCCCAGGTCGTGCGTTGTGACGTAGGCTGACGTGGCGGGGTCATACAGCCCTTTCAGACTCACCATGCTGCACAAAGGCACACACACGGTCGACACACTTGCGTGTGTGTGTATGTGTGTGTAGGCACCTCACTCACCTGGTGCACTGGCCTGTGTGTGGGTCGATCTCCAGCACGTAGGTCTCGCCGAACGCATTGCCCCATATACGGCCCTCCCAGTACTGCACACCCTCGACCCATCCACCCCACACGTCGAGGCAGCCTTGCAATGCATTCACTCACTTCAAGTTCGTTGACGCGCGACACCGTCCGCCCCAGACACACAATCTGGCCGGCCAATCAGCAGAACCAACCATCTACCAGACTGTGTGTCTGTCCGTGTCGGTCTTACCACCCGCCCACACGCGCAGCGCACTGCACTGACCTTGGTTCTGTTGGTGACGTGCACCTGTGCAGGCACGTCGCCCCTCTGCTCCTGGAGTGTGATGGTCCGCAGGAAGGAGTCTCCTGTCGTTGCCCACAACCTCTCGCCGTCCGTCGCCAGTCCCCACCCCTAACACACCAACACACACACAGATGCCTGCCTGCCTGCCTTCGTGTGTGTTGGGCGTGCTTACGACGAAGGGCAGGGCGTATTGCTGAGTGGGCGTGAGGGAGTCGACGTCATACGCCAGCCTGAACATATCGAAGGCGGTCCGTCTGCCAGCAGGTGGGTGGTTTCTGGTTGGTCGACATTGCTTACAGGAGGCCCTCTCGCCTGCACACACACACGTGGGCGATTGGTGCATCTCCCGCCCCTCCCCTCACCACCCTCACCATGTGAGCTGCAGGATGGAATCGTTGAACCTCACCGTGCCCTCGCCAAACAGGTCGGGCGACAAGTCATGATGGGCCAATGTGTCGCCACTCGGGAAGCTCTGCACACACGCACAAACCAACAGGCAACAAAAGCAAAGATTGGACCATTTGCCAACCACTCAATGACCCACACACTGACCCACATAGGTACCCATTTCCTGATGATGCTCTCGCCGTACCAGCCGCCCGACTCCACCACCACACTCTCGTTGAGGAAGAACAGCCCCTGTGTGAATGGCCGCACCCCGCTTACTGCATCTCCACTCGGTGGCACACTGTGGACGTGAGGGATCCGCTGCAAAACCTCATACGAATAAAACCTCACCGAGCCGTCATCCACCTCTTCATCTCGGTGCTGCAGGAAGACCACCAGCAGCGTCACTGCAGTGGCGGTCAGGACAGCCGCCGCCGCACCGACGGCAACATAGAGTTTTGGCTTTGTCCAGAATGCGGCAGCTGTCGGGTCGGGGGAAGATGCGGCAGGCAAGTCGGTCGATGACTGACGGCTGCTTTTCCTGCATGCCAGATGAATGAGTCGCTCACACACGCACAGAGGAGAGATTAGTGAGATGGACGTTGTTTCGCGTACCTTTGTCGCGTCATGACGGGCAAGAGGGACTGCATCGTCGCATTAGAAGCATCTTTGAATGAATCCCAAGGGCAGATCTTCCCGTCGTCGGTTTTGAGCTCGCCTTCGTCAGCCTATGAACCCTAGACCCTAAACCCTGGACCGACTTGCACCTTCGACACTTCCCTTACAGAACTTCTCTCTCGCGTGCATTTCTCGCAGTCCTCATGTCGCATCAGGTGCCCCTGGATCTGTGGCGGAGCAGCCGCTTCGGCACCATCCATGACATGCTCCCCGTCAGATGCATCTCCGGCACTGAGGGATCTCTCATCAACAGCACGGTGATGCTCCGCCGCATCGAGGGCTCCCTGACCCGCCACGGCCTCGACGGACTCTTCGACGTCCAGCGGCAGCATCAAGATGAGGACAGCAACCAGGATGACGAGGCAGATGGAGCCGCCCCGACGAGCGCCCCGACAGATGCACCTGCTGATGTGGTGATGCCCGATGGGCTCACCTACTTCGGCTACCTCTCCCGCTGCGCCTGGGTGTTTGAGGAGGGCGCGGCCGTGTGGCCGTCGATGGCACTTCACGCCCGGGTGGCCAAGAACTTCGAGGTGGTGGAGCAGCTGCCGATACGGCTGCCGCCTCAGGGCATCATGGACACCATCCCCAGCACAACGGCCTTCAGACAGCTGCCGCTAGCCATCGGCATCTACAAGACATTCGGGCAGCTGCTGACCAGGCGTGGCCACCCGAAGGCCCTGGTGTTGATGGACAAGGCGGCGTGCGAGCGGCTCAAGGAGGCGGGGAACGTGCACTATCGTGAGGGGCGATACGACGATGCCATCAAGCTCTACTCAGGTGAGGGCGTGGGTGCGTGGGTGGGGTGGGAACCACGACATGTGTATGGGGTGTGGGTGTGTGTCCGTTGGGCAGAGGCGGTCCGTGTGTGTCCTCGGGACCAGCAAGGCCTCAAAGCCATCATTCTCGCCAACAGGTGTGTGTGCAAGGAGGGAGGGAGGAGAAGGGCGCCGCAGACTGTGTGTTCTCTGTCGTCTTGTGTGTCGGTCAGGGGTGCGTGTCACATGCAGCAGGGCCACTATGACGAAGCGATCAAGGACTGCACCAAGAGCATCAAGCACGACCAGCAATACGTCAAGGTGACTAGAGCGATCACGACATACGGTACGCTGCATTCAGGCCTTCATGTCTGTGGTGTGTGTGTAGGCCTACCACCGCCGCTGCACTGCGTACGAGTCGCAGGACAAGTGGCGGCTGGCATTCAGGGACATCCTTAAGGTCATCCAACTCGACCCGTCGCAGTGGTACACACACACCAAACACAACACAACCCAACACAACGCTGCACACACGCCCATCCCCCTTTGCGTGGGTATGCCTGTGTGCCCATTCACTAGAACAAGGCTGAGGGACCGCCGGGCGATGCTCAGGACAAAAGGTGTTAAGACAACCCCCAGCCACACGATGGGAGAGCACATTTCTCTGTTCTCCTTCCCTCTCTGTCTGCCAGCCCAGGAGGAGCGTGAGCATGACGGCGTCGACGAAGGTGAGGAGACCGAGTCGGAGGCCGGCTCGGAGGACAGCCTCGACCACGAGGCAGGCACCCAACACGATCGGTATCGGCTGGGCGAGGAGGCATTCCGCATCGTCCCCTACGGCGACTTACCCGACGACCATCCCTACAAGGTGCGTTTCTCAAGTATTCTCCTTTCTGTCCGTATCCATCCTCACTTACACCTCATCAGGCCTCGTATTCGACAAGCGACCCTGTCATCCGGGCGGGCATGGGCATGGGCATCGGGCTGTACCCCTCATTCACCACCTTCGCCATGCGCCATACCCTGCCATTCGGAAAGCCGCCCCGACATGAGGAGGCCATCGGCTACCACGGCCCTGCCGACGACAAATTCATGGCACTTGCCACACAGCCCATCGACATAGGCGACTACCTCACCATCGACTACCTGCAGGACTGGGGGCGGCTGGACAACTTCCGGCCCACAGCACCGACCGCGTTCCCGGCCTCCCTGCCCTGCTTCCGCTTCAGAAACGTCATCGTGCATGGCCATCGGCATGGCGAGACGACCGTCGCCTTCGTCGGGGTGAAGATCACGGGCATGGACTCACACGGGTCGACCGGCGAGGCGTGCCTCTACGACGAGGAACTCAGCGTCGAGAACGCGCTCAGGCAGACCTCCCGTGAGGACGCGCTTCAATACATCAAGGATCGCGAGACCTGCCTCGACCACTGGGGCCGCGTAGTCGACCATTTTGGCTTCAAGGGAGTAGGCGGAAACTATTTTTTCTCCAGACAATGACGTGGAGTCCGCGTGTGTGGATGCGCACAAGGCCTGCATGTCGTCAAGTTTATGTGTATGTGTCTTGCAATGGTTTTTTTGCAACATCATTGCATTCATGTCTCTACCTACATTCGAGATGCATGTCACGAATTTATCTGTATGCATTATTGACGTGGCTTGTAAGCGTTTTTCGACCGCCGAACAGCCGCTCTCGATCAGCTTGCTCTGGGCCTTTTCTCTCAACCAGCATGCGCAGCCTTTCTCCTCCCACGTGCTACGTCCGTGTCGCATTGCCTCTTTTGGTGTGTGCGCAAGTGCGTGTTGAGACCAATGTGTGTGTTTTTTGGTTCGAACCAGGGTGCGTGCACGCGTCGATGCTGATGCGTCTCTACTGCGAGCGGACCCTATGCATATTTCGGTGTCTGTGGAAGAAGGTGCCAAGGGCTCGAGTTAACCATTTTCATGGCCGACGTGTCATTCGTCCATCGATGCATCCATCCATTCAGTCAATCCGCCCTTCCCACCTCTCAATCCTCAGTGTGCATCTCTCTCTTGCGCCGTGTGTGTCGTGTCGGCCGCACTCACCTCACTCACTGTCAGACAGTCACTCGAATGAGTCGCTGATGTATTCTCTGATGTCTTGCGTGTCGTGTGCGGGGTCGTCGTATGTGATGCCTTCCACATTGAGGCCAGATGGGGGCCCGGTCGGCAGCACTCCGCCACCTCTCACACGCAGCGACGGGTTGCTCTTGTACAGCAGCGCACGCTCCTTGTCCTGCATGATGCTCGAACCCAACACAGTGCCAGTCGTCAACTGCACACACACACACACACAGCGAAAGGGATAGAGGGAGATGGTGTGCGTGTCTGTCTGTCGTCTCTCTCTGTTTGGTACCTCTGACGGCGGCTGCGGTGGGATCATGGGCCGTTCTGGGCGATCTGCTGCATCTGGAGCATCTCCTGCAGGAAGATGCGAGTCAGCTCCTCTATCTCTGGCCAATGAATGACACACACAGGAGGAGAAAGTGTGTTGGTGTCTCTTGTTTGTCAGTGTGTCAGCCGTCTGTCCATCACGTTGTTTCTGGCTGTCGATGAGGAACTGAATGTTGCGCCGCCAAGACCCTGATCGAACAGAGACACAGAAAGTGAGTGGCCTGTCTGTATGTGTGTTTGTCCACTCACTGAGTGATTGACGGTTGACTGACTGACCGAGTCGTGATGTTTGCTTTCGTAGCTCTCTGTTGAATTTGATTGCGCTCTCCCGTCTGTTTCTCCTGTCGCGCACGTCGCGGATCTGCCGATCGTAGTCGACATTCAGCACGGGGAACTCTCCTGAGTGAGACGCACAGATATATACCCTTCTCTGTCTGTCTGTCTGTCTGTCTGTGTATGTATGTGTCTGTGTCTCCCACCGTCGTCCATGTCCTTGCCTGCAATGCATTGCAATGCCACCACACACGACCGTCGTGACTGACTGTGTGTGTGTCTATGTGAGAGTGAGTGTCTCTGTCTCCCTCTCATTCTGCTCACCCAGCCACGGCCGGTACATGAGTCCGCGGCCGCCACGCACCGGATCAACCATCGGCGCCTGCAAACCAATGAGCGCCACATATCGATTCGATTGATTCGCTCTTTCATGTCAGTGGGTTGCTTGCAGGCCGCAGAGAATTCGGCGGGAAGTTCTCGTCTCCTCTTCTCTCTGGGCTCACGCCATCGGCTCGCGAGCCAACGACAGCCAAGGCCAGCAGAATCGTAACGACACACACACTCGCACGCGTCATGACGGCTGTGTTGGTGACTTGTGTTCTTTCGGTCGGCCTTCGCTTCTCACAGCGCTTGATCGATCGACCAGTGAATATGAGTCGCCACATATGTATGTATCACACAAATACAGACTGACATACAGACTCACATGCATACAGACAGTCAGCCAGTCAGTCAGTGAGTAAATCGGACGGACACTCAGCGGGACGAAAAAGACTCTCGTGCGTGGCACTAAGCAGGAAGCGTCCGTGTGAAAAAGGAGAGAAGGAGTCGATCTACTCACTCGTCATTCACTCGGCACTTTGATTGGTTCGTCATCACCTATCCATCACTCCTTCTTCTTCTCCTGACGGTAAGCCAGACCTTGATCCAGCTTGCACTTTGTGAGTCACTCGCCTTACCTTAGCCTGGAGCTTTCTGATTTGGCTATCGTAGTCGACGAACATCAGGCACGCACCGACCAGCGCCAAATTCTTGCACACCTGGCGAGCCATACACATTCACGCGCAGAGAGAAACACAACAAGTGCGTGTTTGGTTTATCGACGTGTGAGACTGAGTGAGTGAGGCGTGCCTGGACGATTGTCATCCACTGCTGCTGCGGGTCTCCCTCGGCCGCCAAGTAGTCTCCGTAGTGCTTTGTGAAGCCCACAATGATCAGGAACACCGTGTAGCACGCGGCACTGGCGCACACACACACGACATGTTTCCATGATAGATGCATGATTCCCTCCGCAGTCGTGCCTCACCCCGGCTTCATCTGTCCGAAAAGGATGCAGAGTGAGCCCAGGAAGGCCAGCACAGCCGTCCCAACCACAATCGCAGGAGCGTACTCAGCAGGAACCCTGCATAACGACACACCAGTTGAGACGGCGGTTTTGCATAGATGCTTCCTCATCGCCCACCCTGCCTTGAGAGGCTGGTTGATGCTGAGCTCCCATTTCTGCAACAGACACAGAAACACCCAGTGAACGGTGACGCATCTGACGCGCACAGGAGCCCACCATGAGAGATCTGACGTTTCCGAGGATGAAGATGATTATCTGAAACACACACACAGCACACGTACACGCATCGGCTCCGCTTCATTCATGACGGTGGTGATCTCGCTTACGAAGAACACTCTGCCGAGGACACCCACAGGGCCAACTGCCATTGTTGGTTAGCCTTGGCCACGCTCGCAACGAAATGCCGCGGTCGACGCGAGCTTGAAGCCAGACGATCCACAAAGGGGAATCCACGCAAGCGTTGCCAGCAACGCTGGAGCGCAGCAACGCTTCTCAATGCGCAATCCACACTTCAGCTGACATCTGCCAAAGCGGTTGCAAGCCGCCCTTTTATCGGAGACTTTATGGGGGAGAATGCAGTCCCACAAGCGGTCCTCAAGGAGGGGGGAGCGTCCGTGCCCGTCAGCTCAGTCCCTGTGCCTCTGTGGAAGGCCCGACGGCTGCTCAAGGACGCCCTGTCTGCCACCCATGCAACTGCTGCGCCGTTCTCGAGTGGCGTATGTCGATGGGAGTGCTCGGTGGCGGTCCAGAATGCTCGTGACGCGATCATCTGGCTCCGCAATCAGTCCCTGCACCCTCAGGTGTATTTTTCCAACCCCTCTGGCGACCTCGTGGCGGCAGGCGTTGGCGCGGCGCACCTCATTACGGGCAATGGACGGCTGGCGGAGAGTGACGTGCAGGTGGAGGCGCCCACCGCAGTGCACTACTACGGCGGCGAGCGGTTCGACGTGACGGCTGAGCGGGACAAGGAGTGGGAGGCCTTCCAAGACCACTTCTTCTTCCTCCCTCTTATCGAACTCAGGCGCACCGCACCACACAGAACCGCAACGGCAGCAGCGGCGGCGGCATCTCACAGGCAAGGCAGCTCAGCACGAGAGGTGGATTTTTCTAACGAGAGGAGGACCGACGAGGCCCGCAGGAGTGAAGACCCAGTGAGTTGTCGGTCACGGGAACCGTATGAGTGGACGTTGAGCCTCACACTGCGGTGGAGGGCGGGTGATGACCGCGACAGGAGGAAGAGGGACGGTGGCGACACGATTGCTGAGGATGGCGAGGAAGCGCTGCTCACGTGGAGGCAGAGCCGCAGGAAGGCACTGGAAGCGCTGCATCAGGTGAGAGGGGGGTGACCTCTGGATCGGCATTTGCAGAAACTCACCTCACTGGGTGCCTGTTTGTATGCTGTCCGCCTGTCTGGTTCAGATGAGTTATGAGTTTGATCGTGTTCTGCGGCCTCCGTATTGTCTGCCGCCTCCCCTCCCGCCCCATCGGCCGCTCGACGAAGAGAGCGGCGAGGCCTTCGAGAGGTGGACGGCGGCCATCAACACGGCACTACAGGATATCACCGATGGCAAATACAAAAAGGTGAGAAATGACGCCATCCAGAGAGCTTCGAGCAGCTGATATTGACGTGTCGTCTTGTTCGTGCATTTCAGACGGTGCTGGCTCGGTCGGTGCAGCTGAAGTTCCCTGATGCCCTCGAGCCTCTGGATATCCTGCTGCAGCTGTATGGATCGACGCGAGCTACCACTGGGTATGCCGCATACACAATGGATGCGTAGAAGCCAGAAGAGCCACCACTGATGCGTGGGTGTTCGGTGTGCAGGTACTTGTTGTGTCTGAAGCCCAGGGCATCTGTCGGCTTTGTTGGGTGCACGCCAGAGCAGTTGCTGAGTGTTCGGCAGCAGCAGCTGTCCACCGTGGCACTTGCTGGCACCAGGCCACGGGGGGCGACAAAGGTGATATCGTAGCCGAACACGTGCCGTAGCGGTCCCCAACATTCTGCCTGCCTGCTCTTGTGTGTGTGCATTTCAGGAGCAAGATGATGCATTGGCGCGTGAGCTGATGGAGGACCCCAAGGACCGCACAGAGCTCGACCTGACCCTCGAGAGCATCCAAGTGGCTCTCACGCAGCTCGACACGTGTCTGCACGACTCGGCAGACCCCTGCCAGCCGCCGCCCCGGCAACAGGACGACCAGTCGACTGAGGGCATTCTGGACAGCCCCCGGACGGCCCCGAGTCCCACCGGTCAGAGCTTCATCAGCAGCGAGTCCGAGACGACCATCGGCGACTCGTTCCAGTCGCCAGAGGCCGCCCGTGCGGTCGCCAGGCCGCCGGCAGACTTGTCGCAGCAGCTGGTGGTGTCATCCCTGCAGGTCAAGCAGCTCAAGCACGTGCAGCACCTCTTCAGGACCGTGCGCCTCAACCTCCAGCAGGCCCTGAGGTCATACGCGCCACCCACCGATGTGACCGACAGGGCCGACAGGGGCGGCCAATCCAACTCGGGCCTGCTCCGCCTGGGCGTGCGGCTCATGCATGGCCTGCACCCAACAGCGGCCGTGTGTGGGCTGCCCAAGGGCATCGCTGCCGATGCGGTGCGGCGCCTTGAGGACTTCGACCGGGGCTTTTACGCAGGACCGGTCGGCTATGTGGCAGCCACGGGCAGCGAGTTCGCCGTCGCCATCCGGTCGGCGCTCATCCGGCCAGATGACAGCGGTCGCCGGCCGTCGAGTGTAGTGCATGTCTTCGCGGGTGCGGGCATCGTGCCGGGGTCCACAGCGAGCGGCGAGTGGCGCGAGACGGCAGTGAAGATGAGGAACTTCGTCGAGGTCCTCGGACCTCCCGCCCACCCTCTCGCCCTCCGCTTGCGCAGCGCACCCAACATCAACACCATGGGGGGCGTGGCCATTGTCGAAGAGTTCCTGCGTCTCGGCATCTCGCGCTTCTTCGTCGCTCCTGGATCGCGGTCATCGCCGATTGTCACGGCCCTTGCACGCCATCCACTGGCCGCCAGGGTGACCACGTCGGTCCACGACGAGCGGGGGGCGGCATTCATGGGTGTGGGGTATGCCCGGGCGACGGGGCGTGCGGCGGTGATAGTGGTGTCTTCTGGCACTGCCGTGGCGAATCTGTATCCGGGTGTGGTGGAGGCGTGGCAGGCGGGGCTGCCGATGGTGCTCTGCACAGCTGATCGGCCGCCGGAGCTGCGTGGCCGAGGGAGCATGCAGACCATCTGGCAGCCCGACATATTCGGCAAGTACGTGCGGTGGATGAAGGACGTGAGCTGCCCCACCGACCACATCGCCCTCAGTCACCTACTGGCCGACGTCGACTGCGCCGTGGCGCATGCAGAGGGTGCCAAGGGGGGCGGCAAGGGGCCCGTCCAGCTCAACCTCCCTTTCCGCGAGAACCTCGCACCAGACGGCGGCCCCGTCCGCGGCACGCCGGGCCTGGCGTCGACCTGGTCGCACGGATGCCTGGATGGTTTCGGTCATGGCGACGAGCGGCTCGCGAAATGGCAGCAGTCGTGCTCGCCCTACGCCATATACGTGCCCGGCGAAGGCGGCGGGATGTCGCGAGATGCCGCCAGCGAGGTCCTCTCGCTACTTTCGAGTAGCAGGAGGGGCCTGGTGGTGGCCGGTGGAGGGCAATGGAGAGAGGGCGATGTGCAAGCCGCCATCTGGCTTGTTGGGCAACTCGGATGGCCTGTTGTGACGGACATCACCTCCTCTCTTCGCGGTCCCATCGACGAGCACAACAAGCAGGCGGCCGAGAAGATCGAGCACGTCGCGGCTGCCGACTTGCTGCTGGCAGGGTGCCCTTTCATCACCCACCACCTGCGGACGGACCTGGTGCTGCAGCTGGGGATCCCCCTGACGTCCAAACGGATGTATGCGCTCATCGAGACCGCCATGAAGAAGACAGCAAACGAAGCTGCCACCATCGTGGTCTCTCCCGAGCCTCACTGTCACGACCCAGATGCGGTGATGACCCACCAGCTGACATGCTCGATCGCCTCCTTCGTGGAGGCCCTCGACGACGTCGCCCGGCCGGCTGCCATCAGTGAAGTCGCCCACGCGAGCGAGCTCTGTGGTCTGGCGGACCTCACTTCAATCGCGATCGCCGGAGCGGCCAATTTCTTGAAGGCGCAAGAAGGCGAGAGCGGTGACGGGTCGTCGTCCTCGGCTGCGCTGTGTGAGCCTGAGGTGGCCCGACTCGCGGCAAGCTCCGCCCAGAGCACCGGTGGCCTCTTCCTCTCCAGCAGCATGCCCATCAGAGACGCCGACTCGTTCGGATCGCTGCCTGACGCCATCGCCACCGCACCCGATGTCGGCAGGTCAGACGAAGGGCCTGTGGGGTGCGTTGCGTCCAACAGAGGGGCCAACGGCATCGATGGGGTTCTTCACAGCGCCATCGGCTACTCCCTCGGCCTGGGGCAGCCTGTGACGGTGTTGCTGGGTGATGTGGCGGCCCTGCATGACATGGGTGGGCTGCACACCCTTAAGCAAAGCGGCGCGTCCGTGTCGGTCGTGGTCGTCAACAACGGCGGCGGCGGCATTTTTCACTTCCTCCCCATCGCGGCACACAAGGACGTCTTCTCGCCTCTCTTCGACACCCCACACGACGTCAGCTTCGAGGGCATCTGTGCGAGCGTCGGCCTGCCATACTCGCGGGTCAAGACATCCGAAGAGCTGAGTGCCGCAGTAAGTGGCAAGTCGGCCTTCCCGCGAGTGATTGAGGCAGTGTGCACGGACAGAGAGAGCAACGTGAGCATCCATCGGGACATCCAGAGGGCGGCTGGTGATGCAGTCGTGACGCACCTGGCGAGAAGCATACGCTGGTGTTGGTGGCGTGGAGGGTGCCGCGACAGCCCCACGGTGGTCTTCCTCCACGGCTGGCTGGGGTCAAAGGACGACTGGCGGACGGTCATCGCATCTCTGACGCAGCAGGCAGGCGGACAGTGTGTGGGCCTGTTCGCTGTCGACTTGTTGGGGCACGGCGGGACCCGATCTGCTGCAGAGGGGCTGGCTGCCAGCCTGGCACACACACCTGACGTCGTCACCACCTCTCTGCTTGACCTGCTGGCCAGCGAAGGCATCACCGACGCCATTCTGGTCGGCTATTCCATGGGCGGGCGGCTGGCGATGCAGCTCATGAAGAAAGCACCTCAGCGCGTTCGTGCGGCGGTCATCATTGCGGCCGACCCAGGCGCGACGGACCCGGCGGAGCGCCATGAGCGCTTTTGCAAGGGACAGGTGCTTGCTGGCCGGGTGGAAGCGATGGACAGGTAAGTTGGCATGAAGTACAACATGTCGACAAGGTGATACATGTCATCCGTGTGCGTGTGCAGGTGCGCGTTCGAGCGTTTCCTTCGGTCTGAGTGGTACAGCATGCCCATGTGGGGCCCCCTGGCGGCCCCATGTAGCCCCCTAGAAGACAGCGATCAGCAGCCGACCACCGCTCTGCTCACGGACATCATCCGCAGGAGGTGTCGCACCTCACCGCGCGCGGCCGCAGCGTCCCTCCGTGGCATGAGTGCTGCACTCCAGCCAGACCTGAGACCGACGCTCGTGGACCCGCCATGCCCTGCTCTCTTCATCGCAGGAAGGTATGTCATCGAGCAACGGCACAAGGATCAAGCTGCATGAGTGCCCTACGACGTGTTCTCTCCTCTGTGCTGTCTGTCCGTGTCTGTCCGTATGTCAGACACGACGCGCGATATCACGCCATCAGCGAGGAGCTTGTCGAGAGCAGCATTGAGGGCCGAAGACTGGAGGTGGCGACAGCTGATTCAGGCCACGCTGTGGTGGAGGAGCAGCCCACGTGGCTCGCTCAGGCGATAGGCGCATTTTTGCAGAAACACCAACTTGTCGCCATCGACGATGCCACAGCGGCAGCAGCAGCAGCACCGCCCCCACCTCTCCCCTCCCCCGCCCCCGTGCTTGATAGCCTGGCGATCGTCCCCTTCACGATGGACCTCTCCCAGCCCCTGCAGCTGAGTCAGTTCGACGCCATCACGGAGCGGAGAGGCTGGCTCATCCTGGCGCGGAACGCCGCAGGCACCGTTGGGATCGGCGAGGTGTGTCCACTGCCGGGCTTCCACAACGAGACCCACGGCGAGGCTGCAGCACTGCTGACCGGGCTTGCGGGACAGCAGGGTGTGGACATACCCTGGCAGCTGGGGGCCCTCAGGGACTCACGTGCCTTCGACGCGTGGGTGACGACGCTCAAGGGCGGTCGGCAGCCTGTGGTCCCGTCGGTGCGCCTGGGGCTGCAGCAGGCGGTGCTCCACCTGCTGGCTCGGGAGAGGGGACAGGCCATTCCGGAGCTCGTCACGAGCATGCGCTCAGGGACGAGTCGGAGCTCCCATGTCCATCTGAACGGCCTCAGGGTCCGCAGCCATGCCACCATCGGCGGGGACGCATCATCGTCATCTGAGCGGTGCGTCCGCTATCCAGTGGTGAAGGTCAAGGTCGGCGGGAGGTCAACCGCAGAGGACGCGAGGCGCGTCAACCAGATGGCCGAGGACGTCATGGCCGACAGCGACGGCGTGGCGCCGAGGATCCGGCTGGATGCGAACCAGGCGTGGCTGCTGCGCGAGGCGGACGCCTTCTTCCGGCAGCTGAGTGAGCGGTCGCTGGCCCTTATCGAGTACGTCGAGGAGCCATTGGCCGACTGTCAGCTGCTGCCCGTCTTCCACAGGGCCACACGCGTCCACTTCGCACTCGATGAGAGCCTCTACCAAGGTGGGCATCGGCAAGGAGCACCACTACCCGTGGGGATGTGTGCATGAGCCTGCTGTCTTTTGCTTGCCATACAGAGCATTTCCGGCTGTCGGATTTGCCGAGTCTGTTTGGGAAAGGTCTGGCGGCGCTGGTGCTGAAGCCGGCTCTCCTGGGCGGCTACGACAAATGCCTCGACTTCCATTCCGTCGCGTCGAAAGCAGGTGTGCCGTCGGTCATATCTGCGGCCTTCGAGTCGTCCGTCACCCTGCACCACCATGCACTGATCGCCTCCATGCTCGACACCGTGACGGCTAGTGGCGCCACGAGCGCTCCAGTAGGGTCTGATGTGGTGTCGCACGGGCTGAGCACGTTTGAGACGCTGGCATCGGATAGCGTGCAGCAGTGCTCCTTCAGCTGTGCTGTGGATGAGGAAGGGCTCGTCGACATACGTGTCTGCCAGGTGGGTGGGGGGCGGAAAGAGAGACATGCATGACGAGAGATGGCTGATCTGTTTGGTTCTGTTGGTGTGTCCTGTCCTGTCCTGTCCTGCAGGCGATGTTGGACCGTGCTGCCGAGAGCGCCAAGTTGAAGTGGGCCCACGACGTGTGATGAAGATGGAGGAGCGACATCAACCGACGTACGGACATTTTTCCCCCTCCCTGTGCATTGCATTGCACTCATGCACCACACCCAGCCACCCACGTCAGTCATGCTGTGCTTGCATACCACACCACCCACACAGTCAGTCGTTCGGTCGATCCTCCGGGACGCATTCATCCAATCCATTGTGTGCACACCACACCCGTCACCACCCACCCACTGACTCACTCGCGAGGTCATTTTTCACTCGTTGGTTGCGCTAGTGCTAACGCTCCTGCCGTGGATATGCTGTGTCGCTGTGGATGGACGGATGGATGGATGGGTGGATGCGCCTGAGTTTATTGCCCCGAGACTGCCCTCTCTTGTCCGCCTGCCTGCCTGCCTGCATCTGTGGCCGGCTACTTTTGGAATTCGCCTGCTTATTTCTTGCCTTCCTGCCTGCCTGTCTGCATACCATTTTGCTGCGCCCACGAACGAATGGCTGGGTGCTTTGTCTGGTTGGCAAGGGGGGGGGGGGG